CCACACTGACTTATTTATTTATTTATTTATTGTACAGATGAGGTCTCACAATGTTGCCCAGACTGGTCTCAAACCCGTGGATCAGGCAATCCTCTCACTTCCATTTCCCAAAGTGCTGAGATTACAGGCATGAGCCACCACGCCTGGCAATGCTGGTATTTGTTAATGACAGGTTGGACATTGGCAGTAGCTAGTTCAGCTCTGGTAGTAGGCACCTATATTAGTCAGGGTTCTCCAAAGAGACAGAACCAACAAGATACACTGGAGAGGCCGGGTGTGGTGGCTCAAGCCTGTAATCCCAGCACTTTGGGAGGCTGAGGTGAAGGATTGCCTGAGCCCACGAGTTCCAGACCAGCCTGGGCAACTTGGTGAGACCTCATCGCTACAATAAATAAAAAAATTAGCAGGCCATGGTAGCACGCACCTGTAGTTCCAACTACTTGGAAGGCTGAGGCGGAAGGATCGCCAGAGCCCAGCAGGTCGACACTGGGGTGGTTGTGAGCGTGCCACTGCACTCCAGCCTGGGCGACAGAGTGAGGCTCCAACTAAACAAAAAACAAAAACAAAAAAAACAAAAAACCACTGGAGAGAGAGAAAGAGAGAGAGAAGAGGGGGATTTTCTAGGGAAATTGGCTTGCACCACTGTGGAGGCTGAGATGTCCCACAATAGGCCATCTGCAAGCTGGAGAACCAGAGAAGGTGGTCACATGGCTCGATTCAAGTTGGAAGGCCCGAGAACCAAGGAAGCCAATAGGGTAACTCTCAGTCTGAAGCAAAGACCCAAGAGCCCTGAGAGGCCACTGGTACAAGTTCCAGAGTTCAAAGGCTGAAAAACCTAGAGTTCTGATGTCCAAGGGCAGGAGGAGAAGGGCATCTGGTTCCACAAGAGGGAGGGAGTCCACCCTTCTGCTTGTTAGCTCCATTCAGCCCCCGGTCGATTAGATGGTGCTGCCCACATCGAAGGCTGATCTTCCCCACCTGGTCCACCGACTCACATGTCAATCTCCCCTGAAAATAGCCTCACAGACACACCCAGAGCTCATGCTGCTGGGGCCATGCACAGCCTTCGTGCCTAACCTAGTTCCCTCATTCATTGTGCCTACTCTTCAGAGCTAGGGTGGCTGATGACAAACAGTGGCCGAGTGAGTTGTTGATCTGCTTGCTTGCTCAATGCTGCCTCGATGATGGATGCTCTCTGGTGGCATTAACACAGCATATAAAGATCTCCACACTTCCAGACTACTCCCTAGGTCCATCCACAAGTCATCTTCAGACTTTTTTGTTCCTGATCTTTTACTCTCTCTGTTCAAGCCCCTGACAGACTACCCATTTGCTACTGTCCATGTGACTGCATATGTTCTCACCCAGGGATACTTCTCTTTCCACACAAAGTGAGTGAACAGATGTCCAAGTATTCGTCTCCTGGGAGGATTTCCTCTCACCACGGTTTTTAAGACTCACTCCTGAGTGGGGGCAAAATGTAGCAGCGTTCTCATGTCAGCTTTTCCCCGTAAACCAAGCCAGCCCATCTGAAAATGAACCCAGGCTTTTTTCCTTCTCTGCAAGCTGGTCATAAGGGATCCCCAGTAGGCCATAGGTATGAGCTGAGGGAGAGGCGTCAGTCAACACTGGTGAATGACATGGGAGTCCGGGACACTTGCTTTGAAGTTTACTTGTGCCCTCTGAAGCTATGTATGCTTCATACCAAAGATGCCACTACCATCTTACCATGTGTTTTTGCTGGGCCCACCCTTCCTAATGACCCAGAGAAGCTGACAGAGCCCAGCTTATGATGGCCAGCTCTGGCCACTTGGTCACTTGTCTCTGCTGGAGCCCAGCAGTACTCTGAGGGCTGTTTTGCCAATGGTGTGCTCTTCTCTGCTGCAGATGGCATACTTGCTCCAGAGCCTTAGGGGGTACATTACGACTCTCCTATTAGAGCTTGACAAACCACAAACAGCATTCTTTTCAACCACAGATATTCTAGTCTCATAGGTTCTGCTCAGTCATGAGGCTGCAGAAGCCTTTTCTACTTTTGGCCCCAGTTACAGTTGTCATCCTTGGCTGGGCACAGTGGCTCATGCCTGTAATTTCAGCACTTTGGGAGGCCAAGGTGGAGGATGGCTTGAGTCCAGGAGTTGGAGACTAGCCTGGGCAACATAGCAAGACTTTGTATCTATTTTTCCTTTATAAAATTATTATTTATTTATTTATTTGTTTATTTTTTTGAGTTGGAGTCTCATTCAGTCGCCCACACTGGAGTGCAGTGGCCACTCCCGGCCACTGCAGCCTTGACCTGCTGGGCTCTGGCAATCCTTCTGCCTCAGCCTTCCAAGTAGCTGGAACTATATAAAATTATTTTTTAAAAAGATGTCCATCCTTGAGTGTCAGTTGGTAAATTGGTCAGAGTTGTATTCCTAAGTGTGAAATATATTGCCCCAGAATCCTAAGAAGACTGGCACTGTATTCTCTTTCTCTCTTCCTTCCTTTTTTTATTTTTTATTTTTTTGAGAGCAGGAGTTTATTAAGAAAACAGAAAAGCTCCCACAGAGGGAGGGGACCTGAAAGAGGGTTGCCCTCCTTCCTTCCTTTTTTTCTTTCTTTCATCAGAATCTCACTCTGTCACCCAGGCCAGAGTGTAGTGGCATGGGCGGGATCCTTCCACTTCAGCTTTCTAAGTAGCTGGAACCACAGGCGTATGCTACCATGCCCGGCTAATGCTTTTGATTTATTGTAGAAATGAGGTCTCGCCAAGTTGCCCAGGCTGGTCTCAAACCCTTAGGCTCAGGCAGTCCTCTCACCTCTGCCTCCCAAAGTGCTGAGATTACAGGCGTGAATCACTGTGCCTGGCCTTTGTTTTTGTTTTAGTTTTAAGTTGGAGTCTCACTCTGTCACCCAGGCTGGGGTACAGTGGCATGCTCACGGCCACCACAGCCTCGACCTGCTAGGCTCAGGCGATCTTTCTACCTCAGTTTTCCAAGTAGCTGGAACTACAGACGCACGCCACCATGCCTGGCTAGTTTTTGTGATTTATTGTAGAAATGAGGTCTCACCAAGTTGCCTAGGGTGGTCTCGAATGCCTGGGCTCAGGCAACCCAAAGTGCTGGGATTACAGGCGTCTGGTCTTCTTTTTTCTTTTTTTTTTTTTACATAGAGACAAGGTCTCATCATGTTGCTGAGGCTGGTCTCAAACCTGGGCGCAAACCATCCTCCCACCTCAGCCTCCTGAAGTGCTGAGATTACAGGCATGAGCCACTGAATCAAGCCTTGACTTGAAAAAGATTGCCCAATGAGGGAGGCAGCTGTGTGATATCAGCAGCTGATCTTTCCAGCATCTGGGAAATGAGTGCATTGGAGACCTATAGTATCCAGTAAACCCATAAAGAAATATCACTGGGCCAGGTACGGTGTCTCATGCTTATAATCCCAGCACTTTGGGAGGCTGAGGTGAGAGGATTGCCTGAGACCACGGGTTCGAGATCAGCCTGGGCAACTTGGTGAAACCTCATCTCTACAATAAATCAAAAAATTAGCCGGGTGTAGTGGTATGTGCCTGTAATTCCAGCTACTTGGAAGGCTGAGGTGGAAGGATTACCTGAGCCCAGCAGGTCAAGGCTGTGGTGGCTGTGAGTATGCCACTGTACTCCAGCCTGGGCAACAGAGTGAGACTGTAACTCAAAAAAAAAAAAAAGAAGAAGAAGAAGTATCACTGCACACCGATGTGCACGGGGCCATGTCAGAGTGTGAGGGCATGGAGTTATGTAAATCATGGTCCCAGCCCTCAAGAACCTCACAGACTATATATATATATTTTTTTTTTTTTTAAGTTGGAATCTCACTCTGTTGCCCAGACTGGAGTGCAGTGGCCGCTCCCAGCCACCGCAGCCTGGACCTGCTGGGCTCCGGCGATCCTTCCGCCTCAGCCTTCCAAGTAGCCAGAATTACAGGCATGCGCTACCACGCCCGGCTGATTTTTTTGATTTATTGTAGAGATGAGGTCTCGCTGCTCAGGCGGGTCTTGGACCCGCGGGCTCAGGCAATCCACTCACCTCAGCCTCCCAAAGGCGCGGGATCACAGGCTGAGCCACCGAGCCCGGCGACTATATTTTTTTAAACGTGTCTATAAATAATTAAAAAAAGAAAAAAGTGTATATTGCATACTGTCTGTTTTCCCCTGCTAGAACATAAGCTCTTGGAAGGCAGACTATGTTTGGCTCACCACTCTATTTCCAGTTCTAGAAGCAGACTCACTGAATGAATCTAATCGGAGGCTGGAGATATGAAGAAGTAGGATGTGGCTATGTGTCATGTCGAATAAGACCGACACACTCCCAGAGAAGGGCAGGTAGGGCTCAGCATGGGTGTGAATGCCTCATCTCAAGCCTTGGCAGGAGACACAAAGGCAGGACATTCTCTAACCAACGTGAGACTCAACATGAAGGAGGCACAAACATCCCAAGTGTGAGTTGCAGTCCCACAATCTATGGTCTTCAGCCCAGTCTCTCCCCAGACGCCTACTGAGTTTTCCAAGCATCCAAATGGTTTGAGGGAAGCCTTCAGGCTCCAGACAAGAGCGGTGCTGTGGAGTAGCAGATGGAGAGTCAGAGCTCTGAACTTGAATTCACCCAGTCATGAACTAACTGGGTGATCCTGGGGATTTCAAAGGCTCCGGATCCTCATCTGTAGAACGGAAGCAAGGGTACTGCTTTACAGAGCTGTCTTCAGGACAGAGATCTAGTGTATATGATGATGCAAGGTGCTTCCCTCGATCTGTCAGCACAGGGGGAGGCTAGTCCTATGAGGGGAGAAGGACAGAAGAGACAGGGCTTGGGCAAACTCCAGGCTCTGTTTATGCACACAGCCTGCTCACAGACAGTCGCGTGTTATCTTCCCTTGCCTGCACACGTGCATAGATACTAGCTGCTGTGGTGGAGCTGAGCTAATTGGTTTTAAAGTCTCTTTCTTATCTCTTCCTCGGTGGGCAGTAGCCGTGCGGGTAGCAGTATGTCTATGAAGACGGAGTGGTGAACAGCGATAGGTTGTCCTTACCATGGCCTTTACTCAGCCCCTGGCAGAAATCAGGGGCCACCTCCGAATCCGCAGCCTCCTGGCTCGACAGTGCCTGGCAGAGTTTCTGGGTGTGTTTGTGCTCATGGTAGGCAGGGTAACTGGGGGAAGGAAAGATGGGAGGCGGGCAGACGTTTCTGGCTCCTTCTGGTAACCTTACCTCTTTCTCCTGGTGGCCCACTTCCTTTCCACTCCCAATCACTTCTTTTTCCTCCTCTTATCTCTCCTAATCTCTCTCCTTTCCTCTCCTACTTCATCTTTATTTACTTATAAATTTTTTTTAAAAATAGAAATAAGGTATCACTATGTTTCCCAGGCTGGTCTCGAACTCCTGGACTCAAGTGATCCTCCCACCTCTGCCTCCCAAAGTGCTGGGATTCCAGGAGTGAGCCACCGGGCCTGAGTGACTTCATTTTTCTTTATTCCTGTCCCTTTCCTTTCTTTCTTTCTTTTTTTTTTTTTTTGAGTTGGAGTCTCCCTCCGTTGCCCAGACTGGAGTGCAGTGGCCGCTCCTGGCCACCGCAGCCTTGACCTGTCGGGCTCTGGCGATCCTTCCGCCTCAGCCTTCCAAGTAGCTGGAACTACAGGCGCACGCTACCATGCCCAGTTAGTTTTTGTCTTATTGTAGAGATGAGGTCTCGCCAAGTTGCCCAGGCGGGTCTCGAACCCGTGGGCCCAGTCACCTTTCCTTTCTTTTTTCTCACCTTCTTTCCCTTTCTTCTTTCCCTGCTTCTCCCACCTCTTTTCCTTCCCTTGTTCTGCCTCTCTCCTTTCCTTGTGGCTCCCTCAGCTTGTTCATCTCTCTGGGCTGCTCCTCCAGCTTTCCCACTCTTTCTCCCCTGTTGGTCTCCTGGGCTCCCTGTTCCTCATCCTCCCTTCTTCTCGCCAGCTCCTGACCCAAGGAGCTGTGGCCCAGGCTGTCACCAGTGGAGAAACCAAAGGCAACTTCTTCACCATGTTTCTGGCCGGCTCTCTGGCCGTTACGATAGCCATCTATGTGGGCGGCAATGTCTCAGGTGAGGAGGGTGGGGTCTGGTCATGGGGGGGCGGTTAGGACGTGCATGTGAGCGTGGGTGTTTGGTGATGGTGGAAAGGCAGATCCTTTAGTGACTCACGAACATTATCTCCTTGAGCTTGACCAGTGCCCTGGACTGCGATAAGCCTTTGGCCCCATCCAGCCCCTCCCCTTTCTGTATCTTTCCATCCCCCTTGCTCACATTAGTCCTTGGCTCACCTAGGCGGAAATGAATGACGGGGCATTGAGGGTAAGTGCTATTCTCTTTTCTCCCCCACCTGAAGCCTCTTGGCGTCATCTCTGCTCACCTGCTTGTCCCCCAGATACACACTGCATCAGCGTGCCTGGCTGGCGCCTTGAGACACAGAGTGTTGCTGTGGAAAGAGCAGGCAGACCCAGGTTCAAATCTTGGCTCTGCCGTGTGACCTTGATAAATCGCTTAATGTCCTCAAGCCTCAATTTCCTAAGTGATGTGATGGAATAACACCATCTGCCTTAAGAGATGTGGGAAGGGCCGGGCTCGGTGGCTCAGCCTGTAATCCCGCGCCTTTGGGAGGCTGAGGTGAGTGGATTGCCTGAGCCTGCGGGTTCGAGACCCACCTGGGCAGCAGACCTCATCTCTACAATAAATCAAAAAAATCAGCCGGGCGTGGTAGCGCATGCCTGTAATTCCGGCTACTCGGAAGGCTGAGGCAGAAGGATCGCCGGAGCCCAGCAGGTTGAGGTAGCGGTGGCCGGGAGCGGCCACTGCACTCCAGTCTGGGCGACCGAGTGAGACTTCAACTCAAAAAAAACAAAAAAAAAAGAGATGAGGGAAGGAGCAGCAGTGTTGCCCGGTGTCAATGCCTGGCAGTAACTTCATGGATGCGTTTTCTCTCCTGGATCCTTGAAGGAGCCCATCTGAATCCAGCCTTCTCCCTGGCCATGTGCCTCCTGGGCCGCTTCCCATGGGCCAACCTCCCCATTTACTGCCTGGTGCAGCTGCTGTCTGCTTTCTGTGCTTCTGGAGCCACCTATGTCCTCTACTACGGTAACAGAGGGAACAGGGTCAGGGGCACCTGTGTGTGGGCAGTGGTGCTTCAGAACAGTTTTGGATGTGGAAAGAGGGGACCCTGGGTGTCTCCCCTCCTCCACAGATGCCCTACAGAACTACACAGGTGGGAACCTGACAGTGACCGGCCCTAAGGAGACAGCTTCCATCTTTGCCACCTATCCTGCTCCTTATCTGTCTCTGAACAATGGCTTCCTGGATCAGGTAGATGTGGGGTGAGACCTGTCCCTTGGGACCCAGCCTATTATTCAGTCTCTGGGTGGAGCATAGGATCGGTTCTATCTTGGCACCCTCCCCACCATCCCCAGCTGCCTGTGTTTCACAAAGCCAGTTGGTATGTGTTGGAGAAAGCCAAATGACACGGAGATGGTGGCAGATGGAGCACCTGGCAGCTGATGGGACCCTCTGTCTCTGTCAACCCCAAGGTTGTCGGCACCGGGATGCTGATTGTGGGGATCCTGGCCATCGTGGACAGGCGGAACAAGGGGGTCCCTGCGGGTCTGGAGCCCGTGGTGGTGGGGCTGCTGATCTTGGTCATCGGACTATCCATGGGTGCCAACTGCGGGTTCCCACTCAACCCTGCCCGGGACCTAGGCCCACGGCTCTTCACCTACGTGGCTGGCTGGGGTCCCGAAGTCTTCAGGTGGGAGACGACCTCTACTCACTTTCCTCTCCTAAGGCTCTGGGTCCCCAGCCTGGCCTCTTAGGACAGTGTCCCTTCTCCAAACCACATGATCTCCCCTTCTCCCTTGTCTCCTTCCCCTCCTGAAACATTCAGATTTAGAGGTTGGTCAGGCATGGTGGCTCATGCCTGTAATCCCAGCACTTTGGGAGGCTGAGATGAGAAGACTGCTTGAAACCAGAAGTTCGAGACCAGCCTGGGCAGCACAGTGAAATCTCATCTCTACAGATAAATAAATAATTAGTTGGATGTGGTGGTATACACCTGTAGTCCCAGTTACTCAGGAGGCTGAGGCAGAAAGATTGCCTGAGCCCGTGAAGTAGAGGCTGCAGTGAGCCACGATAGTTCCACTGCATTCCAGCCTGGGCGACAGAGTGAGACCTTGACTTAAAAAAAAAAAAAAAAAAAAAGATTCAGAGGCTGTGTTTCTAGGCACATCACACTACTTGGGCATTTGTGATGCCATCAGCAAAATGGGACTATTCAGCTAATTCCCCAAGGCAAGAGGCTGGACCAAGTTCTCCTGGGGTCCCCTTCGCTCTAAGAGCTATGCATCGGTGTCAAGACACTCCTCTTCCTGGTGTCTGTAACCCCAGGAATAACGTTTAGGGAGCTCTCTTGTTACTGTCCCTGGTCCTTGTAGAGGGCGAAGCCAAGGAAGTCATCCTGATTGTTCCCTTTTGTCTTTCTCTTCCAGTGCTGGTAATGGCTGGTGGTGGGTGCCTGTGGTGGCCCCTCTGGTAGGGGCCATCCTTGGCACAGCCACATACCAGCTGCTGGTGGCTCTGCACCACCCTGAGGACTCAGAGCTGGCTCAGGATCTGGAGTCTGCCCAACACAAAGTCTCAGACTTGGAAACTCATGCAGTGCAGACGCTGGAGTGTAAACTATGATAGGATGGCCATCACTTCACTCACGGACACTGGAGAGAGCCACCGACCCTGCCTGGGAGCAAGACAGATATTCTTTCTCTTTAATATATCAGACCCAGCCAGGCACGGTGGCTCATGCCCATAATCCCAGCACTTTGAGGTGGAGGCGAGAGGATTGCCTGAGCGCACAGGTTCGAGACCAGCCTGGGCAACATGGTGAGACCTCATCTCTACAATAAAAAAAAAAATTAATCAGTGTGGTGGCTCGCTCGCCTGTAGTTCCAGCTACTTGGAAGACTGAAGCAGAAGGATCGTCTGAACCTAGCAGGTTGAGGCTGCAGTGACAGTTGACACTCCAGCCTGGACGACAGAGTGAGTGAGACTCCAACTCAAAAAGAAAAAAAGAAATGCGTGTGTGTGTGCCTCCTGGGAGGCTCCTCTGCTTGCCCATCTAGTTACCCCTTCCTCCTAAGCTGGGAGGATCCTGGGCCAGGAGAACCCGCAGAGGTTAAGATCGGGGACTCCAGCTCCTTAACCCCTCCTCCCGCAAGCAGGTTTTCTCACCCTCGCCCTCTAGGAACGTAGTGGCTGAAAGTAGCCGCCAGAGGGTGCGCACCCACGAGGCTGGAGGGAATCTGCCGGGTGGTGGAGGGGGCCCCCCTCCAGCGGCGGGGCACAGTCCGGGAACTTCCTTCCAAAGCTTGGTGCCGACTCCCCGCCCTCAGCATCCCAGCGCCTTCGCCCTCCTAGGAGCGTCCCCCCTACATTCCTCCGCCCCCAAAGGGTAGTCGGCGGGGAAGCTGCCGCCACCCAGGGGGCGTGGTGGTGGGGTGGCCCGCCACCGCCGTTCCCGCGACTCGAGACAGGGAGAGCAAGGAGGGGAAACTGAGGCACAACTCTGTATCTAGACATTCCGGGGCTGTGTCATTCGAGGAGAGGATGAGATACAGTGAGATGATCCAGGGCAGGTGGAGAAGAGGAGCCGAGGGCGGGACGGCCGCGAGGTGCGTGAGTGTGGGGCTGAGGGGAAACGCGCCGAGGAAAAAATCCTGGCGCTTCCGCAGCTCTCACGCCCCACCCTGCAGAAGATGCTCTTTTTGCAGAGAAGGCCGTGTTCTAGTCTCCTTCCAGATTAAAGAAGAAAACCCCGGACTATCGCGCCTCCCGAATTTTTTTTTTAAGAGGCGGATGGATGCGCGTGGGGGCGACCCAGACCGGCGACGCCGAGCCGCGGAAGGGT